TTTTTTTTTTTTTTTTTTTTTTTTTTTTTTTTTTTTTTGCTAAATTGCACTCAGATTGAGCCGCTTAGAATTAAGTCTGGCATGCTTACAGGAACTGCTAAACAATAGTTATACTCCCTAACAGCTTCAGTAGGTGTACCAGACATCAGAGCCACTTACTTAAGCCAAAAGCAATTCAGTGAGAAATCCCTCTGAGATGGGTTGATCCTGCTAGATCAATCTATAGGTATAAGAGCTGGGTCTTACTTTAAATTTATAAAAACAAACATTGTGGTCTATTTTACAGCAAGTTAGAAATGAGCTCATCCTTACTATGTCCTTGGTGTACTTGGTGTATGAATGCCTCAATTTGATTGGCATTAATCCTCCTTGCCTCCTCCCTTAAATTAATTCATAATGAGTTGTATAAAGGAGATCAGCCTTGCTCGCACTGTTTGGAAAGAATTAAATTCACCAGACCCACATATATATGATCTTAGCAGTAACTAATATAAATGCAATAAAATTTGGTATAATAATTGGTCCTACTTCTTTGATCTTCATCTGCATACTAGTAGGTTTCTGCTTGTTTGTACATTCGATTTTCCCAGAAACTTTTCCCAAGCATATCGGTCTGTGAGATATTTAGCATTTCACTCCTGTAACATGCTGGGGGAAAATGGCAGGAATTTTGGAAAATTGGTCTGATCAAGCCCATTTTGAACTTTTTAAATGAACATTCCATAGTTCTGTACCCAGTATGAACTCAACTAGTCCCAGAATGAATTGGTCTGATTTTCATAAGGCTGTGCTTACAGTATGTTTGTAAACAATTTTGAAGTTAAGATATATTTATCTCTGTATAAAAGCCATAGGAGTGCATCAGAGACAGGTTAAGCAGATCAACAAATGAACAAGCTGCCACCCTTGTCTTTATATCAAGACCACCTTTGACCTGCTCAAATTTTCTGTGAATTGTCAGTGTGATACAATTTTGTTAAATAACCCGTCCTGTTTGACCCAGATGGGTAATGTAATGCGCAGTGCAATGTAATAAATTAAATCTATTCAGTGAAGAACACTCACAATTATACTTCCTGGCCAGCTAGTGTATCTATTTTACCTAGCTGGTAAAAACACACTTTGCCACTTAAGAAAATTGGTACTTAGAACTGTGGAATTCCTTCTTTCAGAACATAAAGGATGACAAGGATAAGCTGAATTATCTTTTAACCACCAGTTTAGTGTGTGCTTTAAAAAGCAATTTTATTATTTATCAACTCTACTTATTATCAATTTCTTGGGTATTATATGCCAAAATGCAACTTGCAATCATTTTACCTTCTAACTGCTGCATCATGATACAAGTTTACAGAGTTTCATACAAAGACTAAGAGCTAAGCAAATGCATTTTTAAACAGGGCCACAGGGTATGGTTGCTCTCTAATTGCAGGATCGTATTCCTGGATTTCAATTTTGACTAATTCCTGTGATGCCCCATTATTATTCTGAGAGACTGGATTTTTACCATTATTAACTTCTGTATCATATGGTCTATGTGCTGTCAGGACAGGTGACACATTAGTATGATCTTTTTCATGTATATCACATTCATTTCTGCTGACAAATGTCTTACAACAAAACACACACCTGTACGGTTTCTCTCCAGTGTGAATTCCTTCATGACGACTACAATGCCATTGTAGTGTAAATGTCTTATCACAGTACTGGCATTTGTATGGTTTCTTTACAGTGTGATTTCTTTCATGAATAAGGCAATAATATTTTGAAGCAAATGCCTTATCACACAACAGGCATTTGTATGGTTTCTCACCAGTGTGAATTTTTTCATGTTCAATGCAATGACGTTCTTTACTAAATGCCTTATCACAGTACTGGCATTTGTATGTTTCTTCTCTGGTCACAGTGGTGTGAAATCTTTCATGAACAATGCATTTCTGTTTTTCAATAAATGCCATATCACAGTACTGGCATTTGTATGGTTTCTCTCTAGTGTGATTTATTTCATGAACCATGCAATTCCATTTTTTATTAAATGCCTTATCACAGTACTGGCATTTGTAAGGTTTCTCTCCGGTGTGAATTCTTTCGTGAACAACGCATTTGTGTTTTGTAATAAATGTCTTATCACAGTACTGGCATTTGTATGGTTTCTCTCCTGTGTGAATTTTTTCATGATCAACACAGTTCTGTTTATGCATAAATATCTTATCACAGTACTGGCATTTGTTTGGTTTCTCTCTAGTGTGATTTCTTTCATGAACAACACATTTCTGTTTTTCAATAAAAATTTTATCACAGTACTGGCATTTGTGTAGTTTCTTTCCAGTGTGAGTTTTTTCATGGTCTTTGCAATTTTGTTTATAAGTAAATGTCATATCACAGTACTGGCATTTGTACCGTTTCTCTCCGGTGTGAATTCTTTCATGAACAATGCAACTCCTTTTTTGAATAAATGTCTTATCACAATACTGGCACAGGTAAGGCTTCTCTCCAGTATGAATTCTTTCGTGAACAATGAGACCAAATTTTGTACTTAATGTCTTATCACAGTACTGGCATTTGTGTGTTTTCTGTCCAGTGTGACTTTTTTCATGAACAATTCTCAACTGCTTATTAGCAAATGTCTTGTTACAGTTCTGGCATTTGTATTCTTCCAATTCCATGTTTACAATTCTGTCCCTTAAAGGTTTTGATGGAACTTGAGCTGGTCACAATACAAGTTTACCTTTTCATTCAAAATCCTCTTGAAATACTTGTCATCTGTGTGAATTTCTGCATGATGTGTAAAAACATTTTCATAAGAATCTTGTCACATAGCTTTATCTTTTACAGTTACTCTCCGGTGTAAACTAATTCATTCATGTTTATTCTCTGACTCCGGGTGCAATTTATCAAGGTATAACGTTTCTAGCCTCTAAATACAGAAGCGCTACTTCCGGTTATAAATTCGCTACCGTGACTCATGGCCAGGCGTTTGACTAGTACCAGGTAAAATGTGCATTTCTTCAAAGAAAATCAATCCATATGAATAAGCCGTAAAAACACACATTGGGAGATTATTTTTAATAATTATAAATATTTAAAAAAATATTGACGCAGTTGACAATAAGCTGAAAGAGAACAATGTTGTGATTGAAGTACTCGGACCCTTTCTCGATTTTGCTCTTTACCTCGACCAATTTTCGATCTTACACAGATAAAAAATACCAAGTATTTGAAGTTGAAAACTGAGACAATAATGCATTCTGCTCAATTTACATTGGACTTGTTGTCCACACTTATTTTGAAGCCATTATTATGTTCAGCTGCAGGGTCTTCTCTGTTCAAAATGGCTTTTATTTTAAAAAAATGTTTTAACTTGATTGAAGATCTTTCACATTCCTCTTCATGTCAGCATTTTGATAACAATAACATGATCATTTTCCATTCACACTCTGGGGTAGGGCTAGTGATTTTTACGCTTAGCCAAATCACTTTTTTGACAATTTGTTATGCAAATGGTTATAATTTCACTAAAACAAGTCAAATCAAGCCCTTTTTGTTTAGCCAATTTATGTCATTTTTAGCATTTGGCTAAATTGGTGAGCACTACCCCAGACACTGTCACATGTTTTACAAACTGTAATATAATTTTAATTTACTGCCTTGTATTCTTTCATCAAGGTTTTAATTATCATGTGTAAATTTTGGAATGATGGTGTTCTAGGATGCGGGGGATTTGAGCCTTGTACTAGTACATGTAGAACTCTTCTTCAGCTATGGCTTTTATTGAAGCTGTGACACAGCCAAAGGAAAGGTGAGCATTTTTTTTCTTATATTTTCCATGTATTTATCAGGGATGGATCCAGAGATATTTTCTGATGGTCTTCCAAATTATCTTTGTTGATCAATCCTCCATTTCTGACCATCTTCCCATTGAAAAAATTAGATGCCCTTCAATGTAAATTTGAAAATCTGACCGTCTTCTGAGAGAACCAGATGACAGCCTCAATCCGCCCCTATTTATTATGCTACAATATAACTGTACATAATAGATAGAACTATCAGTATTCATTTCATAGGCATTTGTTTGAAAGAAATTTTATAGAAAAAAATCCTTGCCAATAACATAATGCCTCTTTTTTTTTGTAGATTCTCCTTGTTGCTGCTGGATCCTGGAGAAATCTATTTTGAGGATTTCAGTGTGTTTTACTATCCACCATCACCATCTGAAGACGAGGCAATTAAAAGGTAATTAAGATATTGGAATATGGACGTAGTATGGTCATATTTACCAATAAATTACCAATAAATTTGAATTTGGTTTCTCTTAAGAATACCATTTCTGAGTTTTTTTCTCTCTTTGCTAAAAATCTTTTCACTTCACAGTATACTTTGAGTTTACAACTTTCATACTTTTTTTTACAGGAAGCAGAAGGGGAGGCTTAAGATATGCTCCAAGTCAGTTTTATTTGATCCATCTGACATACAGTATCCTATACTTAGGGTATGTAAGACCCCATACCCATAAATACAACGTCAATCTACATACCTCAGTCCAAATCTGTGGGTACTCTCACTAAGTGCAATCAGCTTAACTTAATGACACGCCTCCTTGTTTCCAACATACTCATAAAATCACCAACTTTTTCTGTACTCTACTTACAGGGATAATAACTCTTCGTATGAGATCTATATTTCACAATAAAAACATTGTAAACAACTCATATAAATATAATATATTCTGTTTTACCACAAGAAAACAGCAGTTATAGCTATTATTCTGATATCTGAGCTTGTCAGAGACCCCGTAACCTCCATAGATGGTTATACTCTGTTATAATCTCTTAAGAGATTATAATATAACATAAAACCAATCTTTTTAGAAAAAAAAACAGGTACTAACTTTGAATGTAGAAATGGATTCGTTATCCATTGGTAAGTATGGGAAAAATGTCGTTTACTCTGGGAAAATTCATTCTTTGGCCAAAACGAACAGTTATTATCCCTTTAACACTAAGAGGAGGTGTGTTACGTAATCATTTAAGCTGACTGTACTCGGGGAGAATCCCTGCAGCATTGTGTGGATCCACTTTGCCATGGCCTATGTGTCTATGACCCCATTCCCAGATATTAGATCGGTCCAACTAGATCGACCTAACTCCCTGGGGGTTCACGCTAATTATCTGTCAGCCGAGCGGGCACGAAAGATAATTACCCCCTTACAGCTTGTAGTAGGCGGGACGGACATTTAAGCCGGATTATCTGACAGTAATCTAGTGAGACTCCCTGCGGGGATAGATCGATCTAAAATCTATGGGAATGGGCCCTATGGCAAGGGGGCCTAATTAAGTTAACAGTAGAATTTCTTTGGAGACCAGTCTTTGGTGAGAAGTTATAAAGTTTATGTATAAGTATGATAATATAACAACTTTGGATTTTGGGAGATTATTTTTGAGGTCACAATTTACCAGGTGAGGTGGTGCATAGAATTTGAAAGATTTGGACAGAATCTGAAATGAATTTCAAATGAATTGCTCCATCATTAGTCTCAAAGATTATGTAAGGAATAAGAAAGAAAAAAAGTTTGATTGTTATTGAGATATTGTGATTTGGGTATTTTTTTCCCTTTTAATGCAATGCAAAGATTTGTTTTCATATTGATGATGTAAAAGGTTAAAAGAAGTCCATACAAAACCACAAGTCCCATTGTTGATCTCATTGAAGGCCAAAGCTTAATTATGAATGAAGACAGAGAAGTAAATGGTAATTCATGACAATTCTTTTATCTTTCAGTTTCCACTCAGAGATGTTGTGAAAGTGGAAAGTTATGATCCCCAGTCTCTGTTCTCAAGGTAAAGAGGTTGAATCTAAAATGGTTCACGCTCCCTGATTACACTGTTTGCATAAGAGGGTCACAGCAGAACTGTATTAATGGATTGTATACAACTGCTTGTATCACTTAATTCTTTGTTTAAGTGAGTTTTTCCAGATGTGGTTTTGGTTTATTAAGACAATAAGACAGGCATAATTGCCCAACCCTCAATTGCAAGTAATTATTAGGCATAATAAGAATTTTTTACAGAAATGGGTGTATATCATTTGAGAGTTTGTTTTTTAATGTGTAAGAATATACAGTTTTTAAAATTTTAACTTTTCATGAAAAACTCTTTTTACTCCTTTGTTACATAAAGCTTTATTTAAATGTTAATTGTTCTTTCCCCCACCTCCTGCCCCCAATAAAAATGTAGCAACTTGGTCAATTTAGAAAAAATTGAGTTCATAATAATGTTCTCTTTCTTTTCAGATTGGATTCTAAGAACAAAGTACTACAGATAGTCAGCAATGCTGTAATTGGAATGAAGGAAGGAAATGTTATAGAACCATTTGATTTTAAAAGGGTATGTTTGGAATTCCAGATAAAGTATTGATTTTGTACTGTTTATACAGTTGCTTAATCTTAGAAAGACCAGCAGATTGAATAGAAATCTTTGATAAGAGCCTTTACAGGGTGAAGAAAAGCAGTGTTTTAAAAGGGCCCATTCCTAGTGAAATTATCGCTCTACGTAGATCGATCCAACTCCACTGGGACTCCCGCTGAATGCAATCAGATGAACATACCTCCTAGCACTGAGTACAATACAGAAAAGCTGGTGACTATTTGAAGAGATGTGTTTAACTAATTACATTCAGCAAGAGTTCCCATGGGGTTGTATCAATGTACGAAGAAAAATAGTTTTGTCCTAATGCTGTTCTCTGTTTGAGCGTATTTGTCATATTTGTATATTAGGTACTTTGAACAATTGTACTTTGTAATATCATTCACAAAGGATGATATCGCAAAGGATGCAAATTTATAATTTTTTTTATTGTTCATGATGGCATTCAACTCGGATTATATACATCACTTCTGAAACTTCAAAAATTGAAATCACAGAGTCTGATATTGATATTAAATAGTCATCATCATGCATATATTCCATTTCTTTGTTTTTTAAGGAAAAATCAGTGAAGCACATGTTCTCCTTGAACTATAATACAGTTGATAGTTGTGTCCCTCTGATGTGTCAGTTGCACCGGGCCTCCACATTGTCCCTGGCAGACCAAAGTAATATGGTGAGTACAGAGATGCCAGTTCAGTGATGACATTTGCAGATTTACAAACATTTCTTCTGATTTGACTCAAAAGGTATTGGGTTCTCATTCCAATGCCGTAGTCAAGGCTATCCTTTATATGAAATAGTTTCTTAGTTTTAAGATTTTTTTTATTAAAAGAGACTTCTGATATAAGGCTAATTTAAAATTGGAGACTGAATGAAATGAAAATAATCTTTTTTTAAATTATTTATCAGTTTTGATATATTGATGTATTTTTGATATACTATTAATCAATGTTTTATCAATTACAGATCAGGGCTATAGTTTTATCCAGACAATCAAGAGTCAAATTCAATACAAGTTGGTATGTTAAAAATCTTTATTTGATATTTTCATAAATACTAAAGTATAAAATAGGATTTCTGTAAATTGTTTTATGAATTGCGTTATCTGTTAGGGACTGTGTATAAATTTATGATTTGTTGGAGGAGTGGTTGAGTCAGTTTGTTGACAGAAAATTATGTTGACAGAAAATTTATTCCGATTATTCTGCAGTTTTCAAAGGGTTCCAGTGAAACATATACTCAAAAACCATTAAGTGTATGAATATGAACCTGACATTATCATTTCTAATTAGAAATATATTATATTAAAAAAAATATTGAACACACTTCAAAATACATTGGTCAGTTGGTGCCATAGATTATATAAATTATGGATATATCAAAAGGTTGTGGAGCTGACTGCTGTTACAATATTCAAGGGATTCTTTACAGGCTGGAAGATATCTATGAAAAAATAATCTTAGAGAGCCAGGGTGACCACATCACACCCCTGGTCACCAACCCTGGCAGAATTATGCTGACCTGCAGTAGGCTCTATTTCCAGCCATTTAACAATGTGGACCCTGTGAGTTTTCCTCATACATAACACAAATATTTATTTTTATCGTTACCAGTAAAGGAGATAAATTATGTTTTTATCCTCATTGGTTTGTCTAATTTTTTGTGCATCTGTTTATAGTCCTCAGAAGTTTTGATTAAATTTACAAAACAGACCATTCAGGAGGGACAGATATGATAACATTTCAATTTCGGCTGAATCCAGGTCTTCTTTATTAAAAAAAAATCATTGTCTTTGACACAATTTCTGCTCTTGTCATGGTTTCTGCAACCTTAATTTGGCACAAAATGCATCATCTAATAGAAAATTTGCAATTTGACTGTTGCTTTTATAATATTAATAAAATTAAATGTAAACATTGCAAGATTATGAAGTTTGATTTTTTTTATTAAATACCTTTTTTTTTCAGAATCCAGTGACAAAAATAAAGCTGTCTGCTATCAAGAGGGTCATTAAAAGGCGTTTTTTGCTTCAACAAGTGGTAGGTGTGAAAAAGTGGAAAGGAGCCTATGGTATAAATTCTTTAATTAATGTGTAAAGCCTCGTGTTGAGGCTAATGAATATATGTACTGCTACTGCTGAGGTATGTTGTGCACTATCTTATAAAGCTTTGACATGTGCTTTTTGTCCGAAATACTTTTGGGCATACATGTTCATTAAAGCATACCTTTTAGAAAAAGTTTGTTAAATAAATGTAGTTAACAAATCTTTTCATGTTTTTTCAAGCTGTTAACTGAACCATTGGATGATTTTATATTTCTAGGGTTTGGAGATTTATCATGGGTATGATGATGCTTGCCTATACTTAGCCATGAAGACAGAAGAAGAAAGAAACATACTGTACAATGAACTGGTGAAGCAAACTGGTAAGAAACTGATTAGGTGTGTCCATTTTGAAAATTATGGTTCTAAGAATTTTTAAACCTTAAATATATATGTATATATCTATAAACTTTAAATTCTATCACAGCAAATTAATGGGCTTCCAACAGCTGTTGATGTACTTGTCACACTGACAAGTTAAGTCGTAACTGTTAAGAATAATTATGAAAACAACAAATTTATGATATTTAGAAAGTTCTGCTCTAAATGCAGTCATCAAAAAATGACATGGGAATGAAAATTAAGGGGAATTTTATTTATTTATTTTATTATTATTATTTTTTTTTCTTGTTAGATGTCCACCTAGAGGATATGGGGACAGCCAGTATGACCTTGAAATGGCAGAATGGGGTCATATCCAACTTTGATTATCTTTTATATCTGAACACAATGGCAGATCGCAGTATAAATGACCTGACACAGTACCCTGTGTTCCCCTGGGTCATAGCTGACTACACAAGTCCTGTGTTAGGTAAGGGTAGGTCAAGGCCACAGGGTCATTTGAAGGCCATTAGCTAGGTTTCAAGGTCACTGGGTCATTTTAGGGTCTTTTTTTACTAAAAACCAGTAGTTATGATAAAAACACTTTTATTTACAGATTATTGGATTGAGTTTATTAATTGTTTTATACAGCACCATATATTTTTGAAATAAATGAGGCTAATTATGAATCATATCCTTGGTTTAAATTGTAGACCTAGAAAGTCCATCCACATTCCGTGATTTAAGCAAACCAATAGGGGCCCTCAATCAAGAGAGATTGGCCAGCTTGAAGGTAAGAATTAAATTTACCTTAATTGTAAATTAATTGTACTCCTTAATTGAATCACAACTATCTGGGCTAGTCTGGTTGTAAATGGATTAGTACTGGTATTAAACTTCACTTTGTATTGTTGAGTATAATATTAGTTAACATTGTTTGTTTAAAGGTTAGTGGAATGCTTTTTACATGGCTTTAGGGATCTATAATATAGAAAAAAAAAATCCATCTTACTACATCTATTTTTTCCTAAGGTTGTATTATTTTGTTGTTTTATATAGGAAAGAGCAGCTGAGATGCCTGGCCCCAAGTTTTTGTATGGTTCTCACTATTCCACTCCAGGATATGTGCTTTTTTACCTGTCAAGAGTTGGTGAGTGAAAAAATAAATGGTACAAATGTTCGAATTGGGAGACTTTATTTATGCAGCATATTTTACATGGCTAATTTTTATCATAACTACTGGTATATTAATTTAAGATAAAGTTTGTATGTATTTCACTCATACTCCATCTTATCATGCAGCCAAAGTTGTTAAGCAATTTCAGGGTTAACAGAGTGTGTTGGTAGTGTCCCTTTCATACATTTTTGGGCAACTATATTTATTAATTCTCGTTTTCGCTTTTCTTTCTGAAAGATTCAGACTTCATTTTATCTCTGTTTCTAGCTCCAGATTACGTACTTTGTTTGCAGAATGGAAGGTTTGACCATCCTGATAGAATGTTTAACAGGTAATTTTGATGAAAAGAAAAACAAAAGTTAAATCACTTTAGCCATTTTGTAATTTGTATAGAATTAAGAACATGTTTTCATTTTATTAATTTAAAACTGACTTCAATTTTTCTATATATTAAGCTTTTAAAACTATAAATAAAAAGCATAATAGTAAATTATTATATATATATTAACTTAAATGTCTACTTAGGAGCAGAAAGTTAATTATATCATTACAATTTGAATGATGTTGTGTTTATGTTACAGTAGCAATAGTTCTCATGTAATTGTGCTACAAGGAGCAGAACAAATACACATATATAAGTGCTGATTAAGTGATGATTTATTTAAATTTACTACTCAGAGCTATCAAATGTAGAATGGCTTGTAAATATGATGACAGTTTGTCTTCTTTTGATTAAGTGTGGCAGAAACATGGAATAACTGTCTAAACAGTGCAACAGACTTCAAAGAATTAATTCTTGAGTTCTACCAGCCGCAGTACAGAGATTTCCTAACCAATGCCAATGTGAGTGATAACAATCTCGTGGTGACGAGGACCGTAACAGCTTGCTTCTTTTGTCGCTGATAAAACGTATAACTAAAGGCTTTCATTTGAATAACAATATGAGGATGAACAGAGTTTCATGGTATTATATGTACAAAATAAATTGTTCACGAAAACCAAGTATCGATGTTCAGATTTACCCAAATGCACTGATAACTGATGGATTTCACCAGTCTGTTAAATTTGAGGGCAATTTGCATTTCATGTTCAGCATTTACTGCATCCAGGATAATGTAGTTATTGTAAGAGATTTGGATTCAAGTTTACACTAGTTTCTGTAACTGTTATATGTTTTAACTGAGTAATTAAAAAAAAAATACTTGCTTTCAGGCAATAAACTTTGGAATTAAGCAAGACGGTCGATCTGTGGCAGCAGTTGAGTTACCACCATGGGCCAAAGGTAATATAAATACACTAGCTAGTAAATTTTACAAATTACCGAAGAAAATTATAGAAAAAGCTATATTTGAATTTCCCTTTATGCTGTAATTACATCCTTTGTAATTAGTTCATATTTTCTGTATTAATTTTTTAAAAAGTACATTTATTTCTGTTTATTCTATAGACTATATTTATGGCCGAGAATTGAAAATAGAAGATGAATTCAAGGTTCTGTCTGGTCTTTTATATATTTATTATAAATTTCTTTATATTTATCCACTGTTTATTTATATACAAGTTATTTTTGAATTGCAGACCCTCATGACTTCATCAGCAAGAACAGAGAGGCATTAGAATGTGACTATGTTTCAAAGAACTTACATCACTGGATAGACCTAATATTTGGATATAAACAGTGTGGAAAGGAAGCAGATGAGGCAGACAACTGTATGTAAAGCCAGTTGCCATATAGAGGTTTAATCTGTTTTGTTTGGTCGGGGGTTAAGATAATCCTCCATGGGGAAAATTGAGAAGTTAATCCTTAGTCTACAAAATGTTGAGAAATGCAGATAAGACACACTTATATATATGTGTGTGTGTGTGTGTGAATATCCATATTTGTGAAGTAGATATGGGGAATACTTAATGTGCATTACTTTTTTAACATTTTCTGTGCTACTAATTTACTAGAGCAAAATAATTTTACTCGTCTGTGATTTACTAGAAATTTTTAAGAACAATCACCCTGATTCTTATAAGAGATCTCTGATACTAAATGGTATTTCTTCTTTTTCTTTGTAGTATTTTACTACTTGACATACGAAGGCGCAGTTGATTTAGAGAGGTATAGTGTCTTGTTAGTTTTACATATAGCATGAATGTAGAGACTGGGTTTAGCTTGTGCACATGGAATAGTATTTGATCGAATAATGAATCATAGTATGATGAAGAAATTAACATAATGTACCAACCTTAATATAATTTATTTTTAGTTTTGTAGCAGTTTTCTTTACCATATCCTGTGCATGATTTAAGCATGTTTTCTTGATTTATTATCACTAACGATGTATTAGATCATTAACTTTCCCAATTCTATAACACTGCATGTCTTGGATGTCTTCCATGACACATTGAAGCTGTTCGTACATGTCACTCATGTGGTACAGGATATTGTTTCAGTGGTTATCCAATTATGCTTCAGGAAATATTTTGTGGTGGTACTTTTTTTTTCATTATATTCAACAAATACATGATATATTATATAATACAAGACTGTCAATATTTCAGCATAAAAGATCCCAATGAGCGTGCCTCCCTAGAGGTTCAGATTATGGAGTTTGGACAGACTCCAAAACAACTGTTCACCAGCCCTCATCCACAGAGGTTCAGCAAGGTGGCAGCACCAGTCCTGGAGACAGGACAGGCTACAGGGGATTCCAGTCTGCTGCCAGCAGAGGAACCTGTTTCCCAAAGCTCACCCAAAATTGGTAAAATTATACTTCACATGGGCTGGGGTTATGTGGAGACTGCCTATTTTTATTGCTAAATTTATTTGGATCTAGAGTTTTGAGTAACTTCAGATGTGAGGGTATTACATGATGAACTGTTTGTGTAGTTTTTAACTTCATTTGGATCTAGAGTTTTAAATAAATGAAAAAAGGTGTTATTAACACTGGGCCTAAGAAAAGAATCAGTTTGAAAATAATCAACCAAAATCTATTTTAATGGATTTTTAATAATGTGGTTCTATTTTGTGATACTGCAAGTAAGTTCAAATCAGATACAATATATCAAAGTTTCCTCCCTTCATCTATTTCCAGAAGTTCCAATCTTTTTAGAAACTATGGCAAATGCATCAGATATGGATGACATTTCAATTGAAAAAAAGTGGAAATCACTGGAAAAGAATATGCCATACTTGGAACATAGGTTACACAAAGAGTGAGTGCTAAAGTTAATGTTTGTTTGTAAACATTCAAGAGTGGATATGTACATGCATTCTTGTTACAGTGTTTTTTTTTTAACAAGAACATTTTCCTTTTCTTTTCTTTTTCTTTGTGTTTATCTATAAATTTTGTTTTTGAATCCTTATAATTATGTTTAATTCTAAGATGATTTATGTCCTGGACCAAAAAGAGGCTGTTGAGATTTTTATAAGTACACAGAATAGCTTTTTAGTATGTTTTTGTTTTTGCAGAGCCATAACAGATGTGAAGTTTTCTGCAGATCTCAAAAGTGTTTTCTCAGTTTCACAAGGTAAATTTTGTTTTCCTTCCCTTTTTCATGTTTCTAAAGTATTTATTTGATAAAGGTCTCTTTACTTCTGTTATTTACAATAGATTTTTGCTATAAATGTCATTTTCATATTTTTTAGTCTGTACAGTGTCTTAGACTTCCAGAAACTTGGCACTGGATTGAATACAATAAGTACACATTTTACAGAAAAATTCAGATTTGGCTTGCCTGAGGGTGGATCACATGTTGCAGTTGCAGTTCAATAAACCCATCCCTGTTTAACTTACAAAAATGTCATTTTAAGATTAATGTGAGCTCCTTCTCCATTTTTGAAAAATCTAGATACAATGCTCAAAATGTACAGCCTTGAAGATCAGAGTCAGCTTAGAAGTGTCAATATGTCAACTATGGTAAGTACAATAACAAAACTGTGATTACATTTTGTAGAAAATGGCGACACATTATTCCTAATACTAAAATAATCTGAGGGGCACTGATTTCTTTTTATATTATTATTATTATTAAGGAAAACCCATGTTTTGGAGATGAGGCAGCTGCCTTTGTTGATTATTTGATTGTGAACAGTTGTTATTTGTTTGTTATAAGATTATTGATCATAATTAATCATCAACAACTTTTTTTCTATTACAGGCTCTGTCTTGCTGCTTCGTTATGCCAAATGGAAAGACAATCATAGTTGGATGCTGGGACAACAATATGTAAGTCTAACTGTGGGCTGAATTAATGTTGTACATGTTAAGTTGTACATTCCGTTCAAATATTTTAATTTTTTAATCAGTCATGTTTTAGATCACCCTGAGCTTCAGAGCTAACTTGACACTAACCTTTTCACTGTAGCCTATCTCCATCGTGTCAAGTAACCTCTGACCAGATTCGAGTGCCCCCGCCGCCCGCCAATCAAATTTAAAGCCCGCACTCAATGACTCATTGAACGATCTAGCCAATGAACGCGAACGAGTCAAAGCGCGCTTTTTTCAAATCCGGACCAATCAAAGATAAGGCTGAATATCAGGGACTTGCCGTAACCTGTGGGCAGCACGCAAAATACATCATCCCTCAGTAGATAATGATGCAGGGCATCATACTGCTCTGGTTTCAATTCCGATATACTCCATGCTTTCTTTGTGTACGGTTATGCACTCGGAACCACTCGGAACTACTCGGATGTCTCCGCACTCGACAATAACTATGTTGTTAGTATGGAGCTTGCGGAATCAGCCGAGGATTGCCGATTGACGATCAACCAATCAGCGTTTTCACCAAACTTTGGTGAAAAATTTTGAAACATGGATTCGATTGGCTTATATAAAATAGGTCAAACTATTTTCGTCAGAGGTTACTTGACACGATGGAGATAGGCTACAGTGAAAAGGTTAGTGTCAAGTTAGCTCTGAAGCTCAGGGTGGTTTTAGATTGGTATAAAGCAAGATATTAAGACGTGGTATGTATTGTGTTAGTTGTGACAGGGTGAATTTTTAAAGAAAGTTTGCTGCATGAGTGTGGGAAGTTAGGGATATTTGCTTTCAGCGTCCCTTGCCACCCCCCTCCCCCCACCCTTTAACCACAAATGATCTGCCCTTCTAAGTCTCTGTTGTGAAATAGAGCAATTTCAGATATATTCCTGAAGTTTTATAACAGGAATACTATGTAGTGTTATAATAGAATATGCGGATACATAGAATAAATATTGCATCTATGTTATATATATTTATTTTATTAATAATGTTTTAATGTTAGTACTTACTCAGCACTATTATTATAAGAATTATAGATGATGATGGTGATTGTAATAACTAGTAGTTACTATGTGACATGCCAGAATTTTTTTTTTTTTTTTTTTTTTTTTTGTATTGGCTCTGAAATATTAGATATTTGCAGAGGAGACAAACATACATAAATTATATTTCCTGTACTTTTATTTTCTAGCTACCTTTACAGTGTAGAGTATGGAAGAGTGGTGGGCACAGCTCTGGCACACGATGATGCAGTGTCAGCAATACAGTGGCAGAATGACACATTGCTGTCAGCTTCATGGGATTCCACTGTCAAGGTTAATATATGCTGTACTATTTACTGTGATATATTCATTTATATAATGGCAGCTGTTTTTGTTAAACTTGTTTTTGTCATTGTGAATTTCCCTTTTCTATTATTTTTTAATTTAAATTTAAATTTGTTGACAAATCAGATCTTAATTTTCAGCATGTACTGGTATCTTTATTTGTTTCTTCATAAAACCTTCTGCTTTTGATTTGTTTTTATATTGCACTAGTCTAAAATGTTTTTGTCATTTTTTTTCTAGGTTTGGCATTGCCCACTCCAGACTCAGAATGCCGGCTCTAGTAATCCAGAACTTATGGTGAGCCCAGTACCTGGAATTATAGACCAGTATCATATATATATATATATATATATATATATATATATATATATATATATTTAATACATTATGTATAACACAAATTATATACGCATTTAGATCCTGATAAATTGTTAAGTTCATTGTGGCAGTAAGTTTGCCCTGTATCTTGTATATGGAATACCTCCATCTTGTCAGTGTCAGTGTAAGTGTATGCAGTGCTTTTCACAAAGCTAGAGCAGTGAATGTTTTTCAGTTCTTACTCCTCAAAATTAATGCTACAGTTTGTACCTTTTCAGGGTGAACTAGACCATGACAGTGGAGTGTCTTGCCTACACTGCAATCCTGTAGATGTCAGCACTGTGGTGTGTGGTACACAAGAGGGAGGATTGTTCATATGGGACACCAGTTCTTGTTATGTGGTCAGTCAGCACCAAGTCCACACTGGGGCAGTAGGAACAGCACAGTTCAGCTCTGGTAGGATGACCATTTCTAAATTCTCATTGTTGCCATGGTCACATATAAGAAGTTTCTAAGGATTATGTGACTTGATGTTGTGAATTTAATAGTTAAATAGCCATTTCATATAAGAATGTTATAAAACACCTATAGTTTTTAATTTTGTCATTCTCACCCATTCACCTTTACATCTACATTTTACCATTTTGTGTAATACTTTTGTGTCTTATGGTTTGGCAATTTTGTTAATTAAACTTATTATACCATGTTTTCAAAATTTTATGTTCTTCCACAAGAGTCACTTTTTTCTTTTCCCAGTGAATGTTTCATGCTTAATTTTCTACATTGAAGGTCACTGAACAGCTTTTACTTGTTAATACAACCACTTGTCAGTGACTATTGATGATTCAAGAAATGTTGGCACTGTACTTGTGCATTGTTTCCCAGTGATGCAAAGAAGTTGTCATAATTAATATTTTATGTGTTCCAGATGGTTTAAGAGTGATATCCTGCGGAGATGACAACTTTCTCAATATTCTGGATGTTCAGACAGGGACCAGTATATTCTCTATGCACATGGACAGCAAAATAAGGTATTAAGTCCACCTGGGAGTATTTTCTAGCTATTTGTCATCATTTTTTTCCAATCTGAATTGGTTACAGTGTTTAAGAGACTGGAGAATATCTGTTGTGTATTATGTCATATTTTCAGATAATGAAGGCTACCTGGTAAAATACTTACTAAATAGCAGCTCATGTACTAATGCAGATGTTTGAGCAAAATGTTTATATGTCAACATCACTTTAGAAAATGAGTGAAAATTATTTTCAAAACATTGTCATTTTATTTTGAAGATATGGCAACACTATTTTGAAGATATGGCAACATTATGATATAAAAATAATGTCAGGCATTCTGACAGTTTTTTAAAATAAATTCATTGACCTGTTTTACAGGTGCTTGTGTTGGAATGGCAGTATTCTTTTAATGGGAGATGAAATGGGGACACTGAGTTTATGGGACATGAACAAAGTGTATTTGATAAATAAGTGGGACAAGGTTCATGAAGGTAAATATATAGACTAATTAAGTGTATTTGATAAATAAGTGGGACAAGGTTCATGAAGGTAAATATATAGACTAATTAAGTGTATTTGATAAATAAGTGGGACAAGGTTCATGAAGGTAAATATATAGACTAATTAAGTGTATTTGATAAATAAGTGGGACAAGGTTCATGAAGGTAAATATATAGACTAATTAAGTGTATTTGATAAATAAGTGGGACAAGGTTCATGAAGGTAAATATATAGACTAATTAAGTGTATTTGATAAATAAGTGGGACAAGGTTCATGAAGGTAAATATATAGACTAATTAAGTGTATTTGATAAATAAGTGGGACAAGGTTCATGAAGGTAAATATATAGACTAATTAAGTGTATTTGATAAATAAGTGGGACAAGGTTCATGAAGGTAAATATATAGACTAATTAAGTGTATTTGATAAATAAGTGGGACAAGGTTCATGAAGGTAAATATATAGACTAATTAAGTGTATTTGATAAATAAGTGGGACAAGGTTCATGAAGGTAAATATATAGACTAATTAAGTGTATTTGATAAATAAGTGGGACAAGGTTCATGAAGGTAAATATATAGACTAATTAAGTGTATTTGATAAATAAGTGGGACAAGGTTCATGAAGGTAAATATATAGACTAATTAAGTGTATTTGATAAATAAGTGGGACAAGGTTCATGAAGGTAAATATATAGACTAATTAAGTGTATTTGATAAATAAGTGGGACAAGGTTCATGAAGGTAAATATATAGACTAATTAAGTGTATTTAATAAATAAGTGGGACAAGGTTCATGAAGGTAAATATATAGACTAATTAAGTGTATTTAATAAATAAGTGGGACAAGGTTCATGAAGGTAAATATATAGACTAACGAAGTGTATATAAAAAATAAGTGGGACCAGGTTCACGTATGTAAACATATAAACTAGGAATAACAATATGGGAAGTAATTTTATGCAATTATCTTCATTTCTGTTCATTTTTTATCTTTCCATCCATCCATCCCTAAAATGTAATCAAAGTCATCACACCATTTTCTGTTTTTTAGGTGCAGTGACATGTGTGGACATCAGTGAAGATGGTCAAGTTGTTTCTGGGGGAGAGGACAGGAAAGTGCTAGTTTGGAGACCTAAATAATAACTGAGTATATTAAAAGATGTTGAGAAGAGTTTTTTTATGGGCAGGATAATTTTGCAAAGAAGATGATGAAGATGAGGAGAGAGTTTGAGCGAAGTTTCCCAACTTGAGATGCAGTAGCAGGCATGGCATATCGTTTGGAAGGAATAAAAATAGGCTTTGATAGATATTCTCTCAAGTTGTCATTAGATTTTTAGAAATAAGTTATTTCATGAGTGAAGAACAAAAGAAGACAGAACAGGACTCTGTTTCATAAAAAAAACAATTGTTATGGGATAGTGTTACACCGGTAAAAATTGTGTGGACCACTGTGTTAGGTCAACTTTGCAATATCTTTCAGAGAGTATTTTACAGATGATTGTCCCGAAATTAATGTGGTTTGACATACCTACACTGTACATACATGAAGGCTGTTGGCATTGCTGAGAGTGACACTTGTTATCAATAGCTTTAGCATATTAGTTTAAAAAGACAAAAGAAAAGGGGACTTTTGAGATTCTTTGTGAAAGGCAACTATGAATTTTGTCTTTACCTGGCATTGACTTAAGTCATTTTGTGACACAGGCCCCTGGGCTGTATTAGTAACTGCTGAACTTATCACTGTAAAAGAATGGGATGGCCACTGCATGGGAAAAGATAGCATTAGGCAGCTTCTCTCATATGTATCACTCTAATAGTGATGCCAAAAAGAGAAAAGAAACTTAATTGTTATAAATATATCACTAAAANNTTGTCTTTGCCTGGCATTGACTTAAGTCATTTTGTGACACAGGCCCCTGGGCTGTATTAGTAACTGCTGAACTTATCACTGTAAAAGAATGGGATGGCCACTGCATGGGAAAAGATAGCATTAGGCAGCTTCTCTCATATGTATCACGCAAATAGTGATGCCAAAAAGAGAAAAGAAACTTAATTGTTATAAATATATCACTAAAATGTTTTTATGTTGGGGGGGGGGGGGAGATAACTAATTGCATGATATTGTCTATACCTATTCTCATTCAATTTGACACCCTAATTTCATTTTTCTAGTATGAGTAGATGAAGGTTAAAGAAAAGGCTACTGTGCTCAATTATGGTGCTCATTCACATTGTGCAATGTAACATAATATCAGTGAATAAGCGTAATGTTAATATGTTATAAAGATTGTTTATTTTCTTGCCAGATGATTGTTTTTTAATGGTTAATGATATTGTAAATTATTGATTTAGGATACATGGATATTTGATGTATATGATTGTACAGACATGAGCCATTATTTGAAAATGATGTTTTTTGAATGTGTTCTCCTTGTGAATGCAAACATTTAGACTGGATTATGAAGGTTTTAAGGGTAAGGATACTTTTGTTATTGTTTATATTGCTTTACTATACCTTTAAGTTACTTAGATGTATATCTCTGAAGAATACAGCAATAATTGTTATTGATAAAAATGGAAGGGACCGTGTACTAGGTGAATAATACGGTAATGTGTCATCAATACGGTAATGTGTCATCAATTTCGTACAGATGAAATTAATAATTATTTTTGGTCGAAATTCATGCAATGGGAGGTGCTCAGAAATTCCAGACGTTCGAATTTTATTAAATTTTGTACTGTGTCGAAATTTTGGACCGGAAGTTGTCTGTTCGTCGCAAGGCCCTGATGACCGCTGACCGTTGTCTTCGATAAAATAAACCAGGTCGGAGGAAAGGTTTTCGGCCCCTGGGTGTCTCGCCTTACCGTAGGGCGTCCTAAGTTTGAATCTATTTTATTTGTAAAATCACGATTCTGGCAACTAGAAACTAGTGTCGTTTTTTTTTTTTTTTTTTTTTTTTTTTTATTTTTATTTTTTGCCTGGCTACTAGAAACCAGTTTTGTTTTTCAAAAATGATTCTGGCAACCAGAAACTGTAGGTAAACGATTCTAACGCTGACAATTTATTTTTTGGATAGAAACGGGAGTGAATGAAAATAGAGGCGATCGGCGATTAGCATTTACAGTAACCATAGAAGTAGAGTAAGTACCATGCCGTAACCAAGTAGTCGTCAGCCTTTAAGTCCGGCTGGGTTATAAACGCGGGTACGGTCTTTCCTTGCCCTGCGCTGAGAGAGGGACAACAGCGTCCGTACTTTGTTTTTTAGCATATCTCATATTCTTTTAATCTCATTTAAGACATTGGGTAGGTTTTCAAAGAAAGCGAGTTTTGTTATTGGATACCTTTACCTGACGGATTTATGCCCTATTCAAAACATTTGACTTTAATTCTATCTTATTCATTTAGAATAACGCTGGGATATTTGTTATGTGCTGTTGTTGCCACAAAAACACGAACACGTGTCCGAAGTTGTGTAATTTGTGATTAAGAAGACACTACTGATATCTGTTAAATCTTTTTCTCCATTAATTGCCAGATACCTGTATGCCTTCCGATATCGGGTATTTGACTTGCGTGTAGAAACCAGCTGTTATTGCTAAATAGCTGACGGACTGCACCACAGGGAATTTGCTGAATAAAGAGTGGGCGCAGTGCATCAATATTGGCACAGTACATTGTCAAGTTACACTACTGTAATGCCATGGGGGATTATCTAAAATATTTCTTGGAGATTTCAATATTTCTGTGCCGTCAAAGATGAACTATATTTTAATGGAGTTTCCTTGGTAGATCATGTTCACCTGAATAGGTCGAGTAGATGAATTTGAATTTTAAAGTTTTTATTGGGGTATGAAGTATATAAAGAATTATTGGGGATTTCCATATTGATAGCATCGTTAAATATTAAACTTTTGTACCATGAAGATACTTGGTAACTTATGATAATGATTTATAGAATGAGAGGGAAAACTGAAGATGGAAAATGCATGTTGGATTACCATTACGAAAGAAAACGCCTTCCGTATCTTGTCACTTTATTGAAACTTTTGTTCTATCAATTATTTATTGATAACCGCGCACGGAATGAAGTCATATCAATTGTAATAGCTATTGATAAAAGAGATATCTAAAGATATTGCCGTTCATAACCAATGAACTCTGAGAACTCTTCTCGTTTCCGACTTTTAAAGTAAATAAAGCACCAGGATTCCCAGAATTTTGTTCACCTCGTCGTTAGAGACGCGCCTATACGTTTCCGTGTTGACATAATAATTATTGCAATTCCCAGCCTTTTAATTGCACTTAAAAACTGACCTGTAAAACAAATCGGTGAGATTTGTTCAAATACGACCAGATGGTTTTGATAAAATAACCCTTGTCCTGTACATTGATAGGACAACACGTTGCCGGGATTCAAGATAAGAATGTGCTTGGACACAGAGTTAAAACCATAACCAATTTCGGTCTACTTGACGTCCCCAGATAGTATTGTACAAACTAATAAGTTAAAAATATGATTCCGAGGTTTAACAGTGATTCAACTGTTATTAAATTTCAGTTGCTTTCAATAGAAGACGCTCACAGCCAATAAGATAGGTCAAGGTAGTAAGTTAATCCAGACATATGCCAAGCAAGTAATGTGGGAGTCACTTTTACGTCATTTAACGCCATCGCGTCTTGTCGAAGTCAAAATGACATCGTGTGCGCGCNAAGCGAGTTTTGTTATTGGATACCTGACGGATTTATGCCCTATTCAAAACATTTGACTTTAATTCTATCTTATTCATTTAGAATAACGGTGGGATATTTGTTATGTGCTGTTGTTGCCACAAAAACACGAACACGTGTCCGAAGTAGTGTAATTTGTGATTAAGAAGACACTACTGATATCTGTTAAATCTTTTTCTCCATTAATTGCCAGATACCTGTATGCCTTCCGATATCGGGTATTTGACTTGCGTGTAGAAACCAGCTGTCATTGCTAAATAACTGACGGACTGCACCACAGGGAATTTGCTGAATAAAGAATGGGCGCAGTGCATCAATATTAGCACAGTACATTGTCAAGTTACACTACTGTAATGCCATGGGGGATTATCTAAAATATTTCTTGGAGATTTCAATATTTCTGTGCCGTCAAAGATGAACTTTATTTAAATAGAGTTTCCTTGGTAGATCATGTTCACCTGAATAGGTCGAGTAGATGAATTTGAATTTTAAAGTTTTTATTGGGGTATGACGTATATAAAGAATTATTGGGGATTTCCATATTGATAGCATCGTTTAATATTAAACATTTGTACCATGGAGATACTTGGTAACTTATGATAATGATTTACAGAATGAGAGGGAAAACTGAAGATGGAAAATGCATGTTGGATTACCATTACGAAAGAAAACGCCTTCCGTATCTTGTCACTTTATTGAAACTTTTGTTCTATCAATTATTTATTGATAACCGCGCACGGAATGAAGTTATATCAATTGAAATAGCTATTGATAAAAGAGATATCTAAAGATATTGCCGTTCACAACCAATGAACTCTGAGAACTCTTCTCGTTTCCGACTTTTAAAGTAAATAAAGCACCAGGATTCCCAGAATTTTGTTCACCTCGTCGTTAGAGACGCGCCTATACGTTTCCGTGTTGACATAATAATTATTGCAATTCCCAGCCTTTTAATTGCACTTAAAAACTGACCTGTAAAACAAATCGGTGAGATTTGTTCAAATACGACCAGATGGTTTTGATAAAATAACCCTTGTCCTGTACATTGATAGGACAACACGTTGCTGGGATTCAAGATAAGAATGTGCTTAGACACAGAGTTAAAACCATAACCAATTTCGGTCTACTTGACGTCCCCAGATAGTATTGTACAAACTAATAAGTTAAAAATATGATTCCGAGGTTTAACAGTGATTCAACTGTTATTAAATTTCAGTTGCTTTCAATAGAAGACGCTCACAGCCAATAAGATAGGTCAAGGTAGTAAGTTAATCCAGACATATGCCAAGCAAGTAATGTGGGAGTCACTTTTACGTCATTTAACGCCATCGCGTCTTGTCGAAGTCAAAATGACATCGTGTGCGCGCTGCATGGAACACGGTTATATGTATATAAATATGTAAGCCGGCTTGATCCCAGCATTGTCTTCCCACACGCTAACTCAGCTTGGCAATAACATCAATCCAGAAGAATGTCACTGTGCTTAACACTGATAGATTTAATTGTAAATAAACCTAAGGATGTGGCACGTTATTCAAACAGTAGTTTAAAACTATTCACATGTCACGCCAATAACAATATACCTTTAAGCATCATCTAGATTAATTCCTGGTGATAAGGCGTACTTCACCTGCTAAGAGTGGGTGTGATTTGAGGTGTGGCCAGATGGTCTGATTGGCTAAGCCCAGGAATCTGTTAAATCGTACAGACGTAACGTAAAGTCACTTAATTAAAAGCAGCCGTAAAGCTTTTTAAAAATGCCAGATGAAATATTTGGTAACTGCTTCACCGTACTTAGATAACTGTCATCGTTTTCTTACTTAACCTAGCTCGTTTACACGTAAAGATAACCCATTTATCTGTTGGTATTTATATTCTATAAAGCATGATGATCTTGTTTAGCGTGGATATTGTATTTCATGATATCAGTGCATGTTTTTTTAAGTAAATGTAATATCTCTGTTATTGCGCTAACCTCAAAATTACTGGTCCACGTTGATGTTCTTGTCAAAACAGTGTCAAGTAAGAGAAGTACATCAGGTACATATTCTTCAGACCAGCGACTTTGGTGATTCCCGCGTCATTCTACTTCATTTTATTTTTGTAGTCACAAATGCACTAGTGTAGAAGGTA